TGACCATTGTTGTAGATCTTTTTTGCAGTTATAACCTTAGCATGTAGTGAAGTTCAGATTCAGATCTACAAATTTTGGATTTATCCAGCTGTGCCTGGCTTGGTTCTGGGTGGTGTGCTCAGCTCCTTCCTGCTGCTGTCCTTGGGTTGAACCTGTTGTGCCCTTCTGGCAAGATTTTCTGCTCCTGGACTAGCTGGGTGGTTCTATCCTCTACAGTCTCTGCTGGATTTGCAGCTTCAGGGTTTCACCCCAGGCCTGTATCCAGGCCTGAACTGAGCCTTGAGGGGACAAAGTGGAGTAAGGGGAGAGGCAGCTCTCCCACACAGTCACTGGGCCTGGGCTGGGACTGGTTCTGGGGTTTCCTGAAATGCCGCAAAATTCCTACTTGGCAGGTGGGGTGTGGGGGGTGATGTGGTGTGGTGGGGTGCGTCCCAAGGTTGTGGAAGAGGGTCTCACCCATGCTGCACCTGGGTTGGTTCCACTAGTAGGTCCCATGGGCGCATGGTTGCCGGAAGCTCTCCCACACACTCATCGGGCCTGGGCTAGGACTGGGTCTGGGGGTTCCTGGAATGCTGCAGAAATTCCTACTCTGTGGGTTGGGTGGGGGAGTTGCTGCGGAGTGGTGGAGGGCGTCCCAAGTGGTCGGAAGAGATTCTCACCCATGGTGAGCCTGTGGACACCCTGCAGAGTCCCCAAATTCTTTTAAAATCATTTTTATTGACTCCCACTTTGTCATTGATGCCTCACCAGTAGTAGGTCCTGCTGGAGCAGGGTAGCAGGAAGACCTCCCACACACTCTAGGGCCTGGGCCAGGACTGGGTCTGGGGGTTCCCAGAACGGGGAGAGATTCCTACTCGGCGGGTGGGGTGGGGGAGGTACTGCGGAGTGGTGGGGGGCGTCCCAACGGTGTGGAATAAGGTCTTACACACGCTGTGCTTTGGCTGGGTCCAGTAGTAGGTCCCACTGGCTCAGGGTAGCTGATAGCTCTCCGACACACTCACTGGGCCTGAGCTAGGACTGGTTCTGGAGTTCCTGGAAAGGAGCAAAAATTTCTCCTTGGCGGGTGGGTGGGGGAGGTGCTGCGGAGTCCCCAAATTCTTTTTAAATCATTTGTATTGATTCCCACTTGGTTATTGATGCCTACTAATCTTAGATTGTTTGTCTGTGTATCAGCTTGCAGATGTTGAATTATTTTTTCCTTCATCCTTGTTTTTAGCAGATCTTTCCTTACCTTTTCACTAGCTGCATTTGTATCTTCAAGTTCTGAAAGTCTATCTTCATTTTCATTCAGACAGTTTTGCCAACTTTTAATTGAGTTTTTAATGTCTTTGAATCTGCTTAATGCATTTTATTTCTTTCCTACATTGTGGTAAGGTTTCTATCATTTTTTTATTCTTTATTTTTCTCAGTTTGTACTTTAGAAACACTTAGTAATTGTTTCATCATAGTTGTCATTTCTCTTTTTACTTCAGAGATTATTTCTGATCTGCTTTCCTTATACCTTTCTGCAGTTATTTCTTTACTTCAGATGCAATTATTTCAGATTTTCAGCTGTGTGATTCCCAGTTTCTTCTATGCTAGTGTCTCCTGCATTTGTTCTGGGTGTCCTCGGGTCTGAGAATGCATTTTCTTCCTTCTCTTTGTCATTTTTGTATAGCACTGTCCTCTGACCTTTGATGTAAAGCTTTGGTTCAGTGACTACCTAAGCACCTACCTGTGTCATTATTTACAAGTGATCATATGTTTAAAGCAGTTACAGTTTTCTATTTACAGTACGATAGTTAACACTAATAATGGATGGTGAGATTTAGCGTTTGAATAACTTTTATGTCTAATAGATTTATATTTTAAACCATAAGAGCAAACATTATGATTGTACAACTAAGAAAATATTAAATTGGGAATATGTATTTAAATTAATTCTCCTAAGTTGAGTCGTCTTACATCCCCTTGATGTACCTGCAGTTTTCCAGGCAGAGTAGTTCATCCCAGTTACTTAACTGTTGACTCTCTGCCTTGAGAGAGAGAATACTCATGTAGGTCAGGGTTTAGCATTGTGGCTCAGCTTAACTATTCGGATCTACCAAGTTCAAACTCATCCAGCTGTGCCTAACTTGGGTCTGGCTGCTGTGCTTGGTTTCTTCATGCTGGTCGGATTTCTGTGGAGTTAGTCTCTGGGCAATCCCAAGCCAATGCTGGCATTGTGTTGTAGAGTTCCTCTCTAGTGGGTCTCAGAGTTACCTGGCTGCTCTAATATGGAGTTTCTCTCTGGCCGGTCTCAAACCAACCTTCTGCTGTGGTCACTTTCTGTTTTTCAAATGTAGCGTCCAATTAATTCTGTCACTTCCTTGAAATATTTTCATAGATCTTAACAAGTCTTGTATTCTTACTAATATATTTACTTCTCCCTCTTTTCTTCACCAACTCAAAACTGGATGTTCAAGAAAACTGCTACTTAGCTGTTGCTAAGGTGATTTTTTAAAAAATGTGTACAGGGTCTCATTACACAGATGGGACTCGTAGTGATCCTCCTGTTTTCTTTTTTTTTT